TGGGTCCGTTGGGCTCGGGCTGAAATGCAGGGCTCTAAAGCGCAGCTTGTTGCATTTAAGCAGAAAAAATACACACAAAATTACACCAAAATGGCCATCCTGGCCACACAGTTAAATAAATGATAATATTCAGTGATGTGAAATGTGGAGTAACATCTGGCGCAGTTGCAGCTTGTACTTATTACTAAAACAAGAAAGCAAACGAGTAGCATTAATAGTCATTCATTTTAGTTAACGTATGCTATGATAATTTGAACATTTTTATTCTTATTGTAAAATAATGGAACATTAAGGTCATGAATATTGTCTCAAAAGTCATGGAAATTTATTGGTAAAAATGTGTACGAACCCTGTGGAAGGCTACCAACAATTTTGTCCACGTGTGTATGGGCTTTTTAAGCATAGGTTTATGTGTGATTTCTGTTCATATTTATTTAGCTTATTTGCTTCATAAACATGCCAAGTAATAAAGTATCTGCAACGTTAATTCAGACTATGAACAAATATCTTTGTTCTTAGAAAATTAAGTAATAAATATAATCTTTTTTTATCTCCAGCATCTAATGGAGTACCAAACAGATATTTGTATTTATGCATTAGTTTGTTTTATTTAATATTTTCTGAGAACACACCTGCATATATGAATTTATTTAATTTTCTTTAGACTGAAAGGTGCTACACTATCTAAAGTGTTGGATAACACTGTATTCAGAGTTTGTTACAAGCGCGAGTGAAAAAATTTCTGATAGTTCTAGAAATTATTCAGGTTATCTTTGTTGGAAGAAATTATGATTCTACCAATTAAGATTTTGTGGGAGGACTGACATTGCCTACCATACAAGAGACAAGGCAGTGATCTGAAATTCATCACTTTGTGGCAAGACTACATTTTTGCCATCAACCCCTGTTTAAATTTAGTGTGCGATTCCGACAAAGGACAGGAGCGATTTAAAAAAATAAAATAAAAAATAAAGTCAGACAACATCATCCTTAGCACAATCACTTCAGAGGAATACAACTGAATCTTGTCCGCTGTAAATCGTGGCAACACCTCAAGCGAGGCTCCTATTTATATCAGTATTGACCATGTCACAATCTTGTTTCTCACTATGATGGCCTTCTCCTTATCCCACCTTCTCTTTCTCTTTCAGGCAAAGAAGCGAAAACGTGCTGAGCGGTTTGGAAATGTATAAAAATGGATCTTACCCTTGTATTTTTATTCATTTTTTTAAGTGTTCTTTGCGGTTCATTTTGATAAGCTTGTAATCCCTGTAGTGCCATGGTTGTTTATCTGCTATTTACATTAAAAGTACCCCAGTTCCTTACTAGTTTCTCTTGTCTTTCATTCTTGATATGTTTGATAGATGATTTGCATTTGGCTTAGGTGTGTGTGTGGGTCCTTAAGGTATTAATATGCATCCTTCAGAAGTAGATCAGGAAAGGTGTACCTACTAGGTGCTAGAGATATAATGATATGATATGGATTGATGCATGGAATTAAATGATTAAAATGTATCAATGCAAAGTGTAAAAAAATTATGTATTTGAGATGCATCTTTATTTTGACACTCCTGTTAGACACAACATCCACTGACCACTAATTTCTCTCAAAGTGTGCGTTCTCTTTTAAACTACAAGCTGATCGTGATGTACTGTATCAACCTTGTGTTTTGACGAGGTTTAACAACTACAAATGTTTTAAGCAGCATGTTATAGTGTGCTGTCTGGCATGAAAATCTTTTATTTTATTTTTTTTTGTCCCAGAAGAATTTATTCAATCCTTTTTCCTCATAGCAGAAAATGGGCAGTTATGAACTCCACATATCTTATCTTAGGGACCTTCTATCTCACTTCACAATATTCAAGCCCAAATCTTTGCTGACATCGCGGTCTAAAAGTGTTTGTGTGTTTTGGGAGAGAGAGCAGGGACTCCAGGGATCTTTTTGATAGGATCACTGTTATTTGTGATGGGTGTCTTTTCTTTATTTAGATTAATACACTTTGTGAATTGTGAATAGTCCATTATTAGTGGACTATATGCATAATATCTCCTTACACTTAATTTTGATGGTCCCCCAACAGATATTTTACTGACTACAGGTGACTTTGCAAGAACATGTCAACTTATTCTACTAACCCTAACCTTACAGTTTGTGGTTGCACTTGATTTTACAGTACTTGTACAGAGTACTTACCCAGGAAAGTAATGGGTAGTATAAGGTACCTACATGGGTTAGGGTTAGGGTTAGGTTCAGGATTAGTATTACCCAGTTATTGTAATTGCTATAAGTACAAAAGTATGTACACTGTAAAATAAAGTGCTACCCTGTCTGCTAATACTCAAATGAGAGTTACTTAACATGTATTTGCAAATTAATGTGAGTTAGTTTTCATGTAGTTGCAAAGTTACTTAGTAGTAAGTCTAAAGTGGAATCAAGTATAGTCCCATGGGTTTAGCTACAAACCATCTTTAGTACTCCACTGAAGAAAGAAAGTCACCTACATTTTGGATGGCCTGAGGCAGTAAGCAAGCACATTTTGGGTGAGTAAGCATATTTTCATTTTTAGAACAACGATTTCTTTAAAGCTGTTAACTCTCACTAGCCCACCACTGGGCTCATTGTTATTACATATTTAAGACCGTTATATATTATTCTTAACCTAAACTAATGTCTACACAAGCTCTATATCATTGGAAAGTAGTTTTCATATTTGACCATTGTTTTGAGATATATATGATGTTGTAAAAACTGTATGCTAATCATTCATTACATAACATCCATTCTAGTATTTGTCCAAAAGATTGAGAATATATTGAGTTGATGTAGCATGTTTTCAATAGGAATTGTAATGCATGTTCATTTGATGCATGTTTTTGTAACAAACCAGTTGCTATGCTTGGTAGAGGCTTCTGATCAGGAGTCCAGTACTGCTCAATCAAGTCTCAGTAACCAACCAGAGCAGCCAAAGCCATATCTAATGCCAGTAAGTTTTCAACAGTTCAGCTGGCCAACGACCTTTCTGAAAATTGATCTTGACAAAATCATTATCCAGTCAAACGCAGATTGTATGCTGCTGCTAATCGCATGTCCACCTTAAGTTTAAAAATTGCTACTGAAAGTTTGTAAGCATGCATGAAAATAAACTTGCATGCTCCAGGAGCACCCAGACTTTCATTTGCACCTTCACTCCACACTTCATGGTTGTCACATGGATCCACAGAGGCTAAAAAGAGGTTATACACTTTTTAGAAGGTTATACACTTTTTTTTTTATACACTTGTATGGGCTTCGTGAATTAAGTGATGAGGAGCAGAATGATAAATCCATGGATGACGAGCCAGATACATCAAATCAAACTCTTTTCCTGAGCCAGATACATCAAATCCAACTCTAGTTTATATATAGCTACTTTGAAAACCCAGCTTGAACACCCAGGCCTCAACTTAACCTGAAGCAGTCCAGCAGTCCTCTGGTGTTGTTCCAACTCTTCTTTTCATCATTAGTATGCCAAACTAAATTCAAATGCCTACACTGCCAAGCACTTGGAGACCACAAGGAGACTAAGGCAGGACTTGTTCCTTCCTTTCAACTGTTATCTCCATGGATCTGGTAAAGATTCCGACAGCTGCTGATTATGTGAATGGGACTAGTCTCTATGGCATTGACATTGACTTTCCAGCGACTGTCATGTCGTGCAGGAAAGTTTAGGCCATCTCCTCAGCACTTTAACTTAGCAATCCAATGCTGAAAACATGAGGGGGGAAAGGAGCACCTGCTTATGATCTCCTCAGCTAACTGCAGCCAGTGTATCAGCGGATACATGATGGATGCAAGGCCTTCTTTTATCCACACCAGAACCTCGCCATTGATGAGAGGGTAGTGGCATGGAAGGCAAGAATTGGGCTAAAACAAAATCATAAAGATAACCCAATAAAGTGGGCATACAAGCTATGTTTTTTCACATAACATTTATGGGATTTCTTGATTTATGTAGGCAATTCCCCAGTAACTCAGATCCAACAAATCAAGGGACTGAGCTAAGAATCAGTCAAGACTCTGGTGGATGACAAGGTCTTGGGGTACAAACTGTTTGTAGATCATTTCTACACTATCTCAATGCTATTTAGGTACCTCCTCAAAAAACATCTTTGACTGTGGGACCATCAGGAGTTATTGACTTATTTGTTTGTTTTCCACACAGGGACATAGGAGGAGTGGAGGTATCCGATACCCTCACTGGATACTACTCAGTGCTTCACAAAACCAGAAAGTGGTACCTCTCTCTTTTGATCACTTTGTGGATTTTGCGTGGTCTTTCATCATTGCACTGCAGGATAAGAAAGTGAAAACACAGAGGGAACTCTGGAAGCTCTAGTTATGGAGCTTGCTGACTGTATACCTCATCCTCCTGCTCCTTCTGCTTCTCAGCTTTCTGCAGGACATGCCGTGACAAACCAAAACAGTTCAGGCTTTCCAGCAGTGCCTACAGTTTAAGTACAGATTTTGCCACAAGAAAAAAAAAACCCTGTCATCTGCACTGCGTGTGATGTACCTCTTTGCTTCCTGCCAAATGAAGACTGCTTCAATCATTGAGCAGCATATTAAATACTTTTTTCACACATACTGGCTTCTTTGAGATACTCTAGAACAGGGCTGCCCAAACTCGGTCCTGGAGGGCCGGTGTCCTGAAGAGTTTAGCTCCAACCCCAATTAAACACACCTGAACCAGCTAATCAGGCTCTTACTAGGCATACTAGAAACTAAAAGGCAGGTGTGTTGAGGCAAGTTGGAGCTAAACTCTGCAGGACACCGGCCCTCCAGGACCGCGTTTGGGCAGCCCTGCTCTAGCATATGTTTAACATACTATCTTATAAAATTTATAATGTTTAATATATTTTTATGGCCTCACATCAGTGTCCTTACAAATATTTTTCTTTCTAACCAAGTTTACAGTTGACTTTCTCAAAACTACAAATGTGTACATGTTGCTTACATATATAGAACAATTCATGCTAAATATTGTGTAATTAATATTAATATGCTATAAGCCATTGGTTCAGCGTTTAAAACAAACAAAGAAAAAAAACTGTCTCATGAGGTGTCAGTGTTTTTCAATTCTGGTTATGAGGACCCAAGCAATGCACATTTAGTTTGTCTTTCTTATCTGACACACTTATTTGAGTTCATAGAGCTCTCTTTTAACGAGCTAATGAACCGAATCACAAAATGTGCAGTGCTGTTGGTCCTCAGGAGCAGATTAAAAATCCTCTGATTTAATCCGACCGTGCCTGTGGCAAGACTCAAGCTCAAACACTTCATTATGGACAAGAAGCCAAAAAATTCTGTTTACATTCACTTTTATTTGAAGATTATATTGACATGAACTTCTGAAATATTGTTTTTGATGTATGTAAGTGTGTTTGTTTGTTGGGCATCTTGTTAGTGACTTTATTTAGGCCTGCATACATGATTTATTAGTTAAAGCATTGTCATTTTATGCTCATATATAGTAATAGCACCATATTATACACAATACAGAGTCAAATATTTGCTGATTATTCACTACACTGCTACCATCATTGTAAACGGCATGTGTGCCTACATTTTACTATTACAGCTCCTTTAAAATTGTAACACACGATTAATAACTCATCAAGCATTAATTTATCTGCACATTCTAATCTTTTTCAGAAGCTCCTTGACCATAAGAATCTTTTTTCACATCTCTGCTCTTTTCTTTTGTAGATTCTTTCACCACCTGAGCAATGAGCAAAAGAATCAATCAGATATATGCTACATATGTTACACATATACATTTGAAGGAAAAAACAAAAACAAAGGCAAACAAGCTATAACTTTAAACAATGAGAATACTGAGTGATAGTGTTTTTCACTGGCCAATTTATTGTTAAAGGATGCTCGGATGTCTGTTTCAGTAAGACTGGAATCAAAATGTCTCACCTCTCCATCACGAATCTCAACGGTCTTGATTACGACTTTCTTTCCAGGTCCAGTATCAGAAAACTGACCATAATCTGTTCAAAGACATCACACATCAGATGCTATAAAAAACCTTACACATGGACACAGATGAATAATTGCATTGTTTTGTAAAAGGATATGAAATTATATGAGTGGAGACATGGAAACAATTGTTTACCCCTTGTATCTGTCCATTACTATTATCATGAGCAACTACAGTAGCAATCAAAAGTTAACTAATTTTCTTGGAACAGATTCCATTTCAGCTGACAGAAGGAAATGTGACCTTTTACACAAAGGAATAGTTCACCCAACATGCAACTCCAGTGTTATTAATCATG